AAACACGAATGGTCCTTGCTAATGGTAGCGTCACCACAAAGGGAAAAATCTCATTAATAATTTTAGCATCATTACCTGCTGTTTTCTTGATTGTGCCATGTCAAACATCAGGCATACATTTTTTTTTCTTAAAAAAACAAAACTAAATGACACCGTTTGAAGTAGGTCTCTGCTTTATAAAGTAGGCCCTTTACTTTATTGTTTACATTATATCAGTTCTTTAGAAGGAGGGGTTTCCGATTCAGCACCCAAATCTGAGAGGATCGGTCCAAATAGGAGGAAAGTCTTGAAAAAACCCCAAGCATCCTTTGTTCAACAACGTCCAGTTGGAGGTTCAAACCAAGGTCGTCCACACCAAAGCGAAATATAATAAAATACCAAGTTAGCTTACTGAGCACCAAAGGAGAGAGGGAGAGAGAGTGGGAGTGAAAGAGAGAGAGAGGGGGAGAGGGAGGAGGAGGGGGGGGTGTAAAGAGATAAAGAGTATTGCTATTTCGTGTCTAATCGTATGCTGAACCAAGAATCAAATATCATATTATACTGAACGCCAATAAAAACGCAACGTTTTTAAAAGGCTATATAAGTAAGCCAAATATGCTTTGATCGCCACGATTTTAGAGACAAAGGTAAGTAGTTGTTAATTCACATGCCCATGCACAATTTTTATTTTCACGCATACTTTCATCCCAGAACAGTGACCCGTGCTTTGGTAAAAAGTGTTAAAGAGACGCAGCATTACTCACGAAAAGAATGTAATTCTCTGAGAAGATGATAAGTGGCTCTCTTCAAACTTCAAACAAACGTCCGGATATGTTTGCGATCAGTTTTTATTTTTCTTTCATTCCAAAGACGCCTCAACTTACGAAACTGACCCAAGTTTTACCTCCGCCTAGTTTAATTATAGCGGATAATCTGCCCAAGAAGCAGCAAGACGGCTAAAATGTAGCGCGTGTATTATTTCTCGACTTATCCAAAGATTTGAGCTCACTTGCAATGTCCAGGATAGACATGAAACAGGTCATCCTCTAGTGACCAGCCCTGCTCAAGACAGATTTTGTGTCACATCTGCAGAATCGTTTCCTTCTTGCAAAAATGACAGCTCAATGCGTGCAAGGTATACGTGAAACTGTTTCTTCCATCAATGTGAGGCGCCGAGTGGTTATCCAGGACTTAAAACAAGAACGCCTTATTTAGAACTGCTGCTGTTAAGGAGTCCGTGAAAATAGCGCCGTATTAAGTGTGCGCAACAGCACGAGGAAAAATCAGATCGCCTCAGTCATCCAACATGACACTCTTACCCTCGCTCTGCCCATGTAACAGACAGTACAGTTTCTGGAAGATCATAACTTGAATGTCATGGACTGGCCAGTGTTCATACCGGACATGTCTCCAAAAGCGCACATAGGGGATGAGCTGAACCGCAAAGTGCGTGGAAGAAGCCGATTTTCGAATCTGCTGCAACGGGAGGTCGCACTGCCGCTAAAGTGTGTCAGAATTTCTCAACAAAACATTCAAAATGTTACAAAATCCGTGTGAAGACGTATTTTGGTCTTTACACATGTTAATGGTAGCCGTTTAGTTTATTAAGAGTGAGATATCTTTATTAAGATTCGATTTGTGCTTTTCTGTAATTTTGTCTGAGGGGGTATTCCGAAAGTAGGAAGACAAAAGGTATCGAAATCATTTGAGGTACAAATGTAATAATAAAATACTAATAATGGATTGCATTTATATAGCGCATATCCACTTATGCAATGCTCTATGCGCTTAACATGAAACATACTGTGAAATTACAAATCAATTTTATAGGCACACAATATACATACGCGTGCACACACATACTCACGCACGCACCAACACACACACATACATACACACATACAAAATGACGACAATCTACAGCTTGGGTGGATTCTGTCTAATAGAAAAACGATGAAAATAGAAATGCTTTTTTTAGTTTTTTCTTTAAAATTTCTAGATTTTCTGCTTCTCTGATAGTTTTTCGAAGCCTATTCCAAACAAGTGGGGCAAAATATGAAAAAGAGCGTTGGCCATATGATTTATAATTTATTTTAGGTTTAACAAGGGTTGTTTTGTCACTTGATGATCTGAGAGTTCTAGGTGGTACATAGGGTGTTAAAAACTGTTTTAGGTAGTCAGGTGATAGATCAAGTAAGTACTTGTAGCAAGTTAAACAGTTTTTATATATGATACGCTCTTTCACCGGATTTCATTGACAAATCCTGACCTAGCACTACACCTAAATTACAATGTATGCGATGACAATGGTCTGCAATAGTTGGAAAATGATTAACCCTCAGAAAACACTTATTTTAATCTATCTCCATTTAATTTTAAAAATGTGCAAATAACATGTACGAAGTGTTGCGTTTTAATGGCGTTCAGCCATCAACACAAGACTTATTAGAGAGGGGGGGGAGAGAGAGAGAGGTGTCTAAAGGGGCATGATACTTGAAATATTTTTAAAAGCTTAGGGTCGAATAATTATGTCCCTTCAATGTTTTAGTAAGCGTTTAACGGCACTTGCGTCACATTTTATAAGTGCCGAAGATAAGAAGTGTTACAATAGAGTGACAAACATAAAAAAGAAGGAGAGATAAGGACGAATCACCCACAAAACTCATGTGTCTCTATGAGGTCAAGCTCACACCGTAAAGTGCCACAAGGGCAGGAGTCTCGACTCGTTAAACATTGTAATACTAATACAATGTAATACTGTATATTCTTGACCATGAGCACCACGTCAGTTTTCAATACCCACCACCTATTTTATACACATACAACCGTTGTGGAATTAACAAAAGAACTAGAATCTGTAAAGTTATATGTTTCATAACAAATACATGTTGCTAACATTGGACTAATTGTGGAAATACAAGAAGAGCAGTAAGGACGAATATGAGTAATACGTGTAATCGAACAGATGTAAGTTATAGTTTTAGTAGTAAGAGTTTTACGGCACTAGCTCCACAATAAGGTGCTGAAGATTAGAGTTGTTACAAGAAAGTAACAAACATTTTATTAAAAAGGAGAGATAAGGGCAATAGATGTTTGATAGGAAAGTTTAGTTTTAGTAAGTGTTTTACAGCACTTGCAACACAAGAAGGTCATATAAGTGCTGAAGATTAGAGATGTAACAAGAGAGTAGCAAACACAAAAAAAGGAGGGGAGATAGAGATGGAGACGATAGATATTCTTTATAGAAAAGAAGGAGCAAACCACACCAGAGCAGCCGCCAACTACACACGTTTAATAGGAAACAAGGAGTAAACCACACCAAAGCGTCCGCTAACATGAACCACTCACACAATAGCAGATGTGAAATTAGGTCAGACACAACTTACAATGATACATGTAAGTGTGAGACAAAACAGATCAGAGATTCTTGTTATTCATGCTACAGTAAAGTGGAACCTTTACGAGCTCAAATGTTGTGTCATAAGTCTCTCACTTTAACTTATAAACTTGATTACCGTACTTCATAGGTTTGAGTTTGAGTACGGCAAAGCACATCGACGCAATAATGATCATTTAGTGCTGGGAAAAAGTACGACAGACAGAAACAACGGAGGGAAAGTATAGAAGTAGAACTTGCCAGTGGCACCCTCCAGCCACCCATACTTCAGAGGTCAAAGTTCCAGACTGAATTAACGACCACTTGTAATGGGGCGAAAGATTGCATCTCAGAATTTCTCCAGACAAGGACAGTTGAGGATCACAACAGCTGCAATACAGGTTTCCTGACCCAAACCAAGATTGTCTACATCATAGCCTCGTGTCTTACAACTTGAACTAAGTGTCTCCATGTGTCCTTTGAAATAGCAACAGTCTGAGTAAAAATAAACACATCAACACTACAGTCTTTACTGCAAGAAAAAAGTTACTTTTTTAGTTTTAGTAAGTGTTATACGGCACTTGCAACACAAGAAGGTAATATAAGTGCAAAAGATTAGAGGAGTTAAAAATACAAAAAAGAAGGAGCAGAGATAATGACAGTAGATGTTTGATAGGAAAGAAGGAGCAACCCACACCAGAGCACCTGCCAACCAATCACAAAGAGTAACACTTGTTTTAGTAGAAGTTTTACGGCATTCGCAACTGCATAAGGTCATATGAGCGCCAGTAGACTAGGTGTTACAAGAGAGTAGCAAACATAAAAAAGGAGGGGAGATAAGGACGATAGATGTGAGACACAAAAGAAGAAGAAGCAAACCACACCACAGCACCCGTCAACCACTCACATAGTAAGACTGATTTAGTTTTAGTAAGATTTAACACAAACAGGTCATACAAGTACCCATGATTAGAGGTGTTACTAGAAGAGAGTAACATATGAAAACCTACATAGAAAAGAAGTAGAAATAAAGACGATAGATGTTTGATAGGAAAGCAGGAGCAAACAACACCAGAGTGCTCAACAACCACCCAGGGGCTCCGGTGGCTAAGTGAGTAGTGAGTTTTGACTCAAGCAATATCAAGCAAGTGTCGGTGACACGGGGAACAGATGGGTGGTCACTGGAGTGTGTCCTTGAGCAAGACACGACAACCCTAGCTCAAATTACAGGGCGCTGCACAGTGGCGACCGACAGTGGCATTGTTTGTAAACTGTTCTGTATTTGTGTAATAGTGTGTATTTATGTATGTATTTATGCATGTATGTATTTATAATTATGTATTTATGTATGTATGTATGTTTGCCATTGTAAAACAAAGTGCCCTCCTGGGACAAATAAAAGTGTAATTTATTATTATTATTATTATTAAGACTAAGATAAACCAAAAAATAAAGAAACAGTTGAGGGAAAGAAAAGAAGTAGCACTATCAGTGGCACATGCCAATCACATATGAACAGGCGACATAACAATACACCATCATATTATAGTAGAAAGAAGACATACGAAATTAGAAAAGCGCAACAAGGACAATTCCATGAAATTGTACTGAAATCTGAAACTAACAAAAACGCAAGGAAAAAACATTTCCAGAGAAGAAAACAAATTTATTTTTTCAAAGTAACATTTGATTTAGGCAGTAACATTGCATCGAGACACAATGAACATTCAATAAATAAACAACTAAAAAAAATGGTGCAGCCACTGATTCTAAACAACATACATCTTTCTTCTCTCTGAGCCAAGCACCCAAATAGGATTCTAAAATTTAAAAACAAAAGAAAATATGATTACTGGAACTTGTTAAACACACTTTCTTCCGGACTATCCACTATGATTTAGAATTACGTATTAGAAAGATTACTTTAAAAATATTTAAGTAGACATCACAGTCTATCTCACAAGTTATAGAAGGTTTTGGTAATCACTTTGCGCGGCACAACATCGATACTTTCTAAACAGTCATTATCATAGGCAGACTGAAAAGCAACACCATTACAGACAATACCTGTATCTTCTATCTTTCCCAAAATCTTTTTTAAAATCGCAATGAATACTGTCGAAAAATGCTAAAGAAGACAAAATGACGTCCAGCATAGTAACGTCAATAAACTCTGAAAGTTACCATGTATCCAAGTATAAACAAATAAAAACAAATCTTTTTAAGATTAAACGATTCCAAGATCCCAAGTAAATGGAAGATAAAATAGATAACTGTAAATACAGAGCTAATTTATTTGTACAGACACCGTCAAAAGAAATTCTCTTTCAAACTCCATGTCATACATGATAAAAACTAATCGCCCCTTTCTCACTTAATGCAAACTGAAAATTGAAGAATTGTAGTTGTACAACTCTCATCCAAATTATTTAACTTCAACAAAAGCTACTCTCACAGACTAGGACACACAAAAAATGTTTTTCATCTCTGCACAGATAAACAGTTAATTTCAATCTGCCTCTCCAAGTGCACTCAAAGACAATGAAACGGAACATTCAAACAGCTGCTTTATAAGATGACGTATATCAACATGTCAGCAAAGTGATGTAGAACGACACTCACTCTCTATTATCTCATATACATCAAGTTTGCAATGTGACATTCATTCCCTTTGCAAACAGGTGTTGGGACACTGCTGAATCATGCCTAAATAGGTGAAATTTTAAGTCAACTTGTATTCAAGGTTTCTGATACAATAGAAAGCACAATGACTCCCTCTCTCTTCACTGAAGTTGAGCACAAAACATACATTCTCAAACATGTAAGCTTGCATTTTGTTTTTTGTATTTTTTTAATACCCTGGACAAAACAAATAACAACATGATCATAATGAGTTAAACAAACACAAATTCAGTTGCTACTTTAACACCTTACAAACACCACTGAAAATGACAGGCCAAACAGCAGCATCAAAGCTCACAATACCGTACAGAATACAACAATCATTCAATCTTTATATCACATAAACGATGAATTTAAAGTATGAAATTAATTGCATTATCACCAAAACCTTGGGTTAAAGACACCATTCAACCCAACAAATATTTATTTCAAAGCAGCCAGTGAAATGAATGACTCAATTTTCAATGACGATAGAAACAGTCACAAACATGTGGATTTAGAAAGCATTTCTTCCTAAACATGTATACTGAAGTGCAAGGATTTTCTAAATCACCCACAAAAAGCGGACACATGTAAGAAATATTTTCATCCCCCTTCATACTCATTCAATAATCCCGTACTCATCCTCCATTTTCAATTCAACCTTTTTGCTTTCACAAATGACCATGAAGGCCTAACAAATCAAATACAGCAAGGAATACTCAGCGTGCCTATACAGAGCTTCACTTTTTACAGAAATAGCCAAAGAGTGTATAACATTAATAATCCACCAAATGTCACAAACAACAACATCCCCATCCACCCACAACCAAAAAAGAAACCTGAAGCAACAAAAAAACTATACAAGACGCTACTATAATGTGAATGGGTAACCCTGTCAGGGACTCTGCAACTATCAAACTTCATGATCATCACAATACTACCACTCTCATTCCAAGGACCAACAACATAACATACAAATATAAAGACACAAATGATCCTCCAGATCATCGTACAGCAATTTCAAGTTCACCAGGCCTCAAAGCAGCCCCTTCCCGTTCACAAAGCCAGTGAATAAAAATGAAAGCTAAGACTTGATACATTTACACAAAATCCTTCAAAATTGTATTTTTGTAACACAGCTTCCGATTAATTCAAGTAATAATGATGTGGAACAAAGACGAAGCTAACAGAAAGACAAATCAAAATTTTTCAAGTTTCACAAAAAAAATTCTTCCTCAAACTGATGGCTTGATATCAGCATTACACAGACTCCAGCATAATTTCAAAGATTCATTCGTAAAACATATAACTGACTGACAAATTCAAAAGGTCTGCTTCACAGTGGATGTATCAACAACGCCTTATCTTTAAGGTTCGGACACCCTGATTACATAAAACACAGGCATAGTTTCATCAACAGCTGTTTTCAGGGAATGCTCTAGCAGATATACATGTCTGTCAAAATCTATGTTTATTCATCAGACTGAAGTATGCTGTTGGTCACATTCATTTACTATGTACACAATTACTTATAGTATGGCTATAAAACAAATGCCCTTTTGTACTAAACAAGTGTTCAAGACATACCAGGTACAAGATTCTTAGAAGGGGAGAAGAAGAAAAAAGAAACAAAGTATATCACAACAAATATCATTTCAGCCATCAACTTATTTCCTTACATTTGAACAAATGCTTGAGAAAAACTGAAAAGTGAAAATCAACAGTAGAAAGTACAATACACCCATCTCAACACATTTTACCAAAGTTAAAAATTGGGCAACCTCTGAAAGAGCATATGAGCAGCCATGCAGGAAGAACACAATCAAAACCCATCACCATTCCTTTCCTAGACAATTATTCAAGGCCCAAAAAATAATAGGTTGTCTCTGCAATTTTCCACTTGAGACTTATCAGCTTCCAGCCCTTCCCAAAACAGTCCCCCTTCAAATAAGTATTTGATGTTGAAAAGGGGCCAGTCAATAACACAAGTGCTTGATCAAAACTAGCAAGCAGATTTGTGCTGCCATCCCACCCAGCCTTCAAAATCAAATCTTCACTTCAAATACAGTTTCATCTGACAAATCATTCTCACTTATATTGATTTATATCAAACTTGTCTTCAGTTCCAAGATGAACACAACACAGAAGTAAAAATAAAGAGTAATGCGTTGATCTACAGTTGAGGGAATAAATATGAACAATTTACATAAAAAGGGAGGAAGTGCAGACTCGCACTGTGAAAAGAAAACATGGAAGGAAGAAGAAAAGATTTTCAAATTAGAAAGGCAGGACAAGAAAGCCAACAGCCCAACTCTTCTCTTTGAGCCTTTATTGATTGACAGAATTAAATCAGCAGGCCACAAAAAAGCACATATATATGGGCAAATTCAACACGCATATAGAGAAATAGAGGACGTTACACAGAGCATTCACCAAACTATTTATGAACGAGACTGTAGAGGGACATAGGAAAGAGAGAGAGAGAAGATAATATGGGGAACTTTGAGGAAATAATCACATGAATATTACACTAAGACACAGTGGGGGTGTTAAATAATAAGACAAAGAAGGACAAGTGACAAATTATAATCACTACATGAATCCGAAGCCACCATAAATTTGTACAGTCTTCCAAAGCTAAGACCAAGAACGTGTTCACTTTTTGCCACCCCCCCAGAGCCAGCCTTTGACCATTCCAGTGAGACCCCCGCCCCCTCCACCCGCAGCTTTCTTCTGCGCCTCCAGTTTGTCCTCAAGAGATGGGAACTCGATGTGGTTGAGAGCCAGGTCAAAGAAAAGTGGTCTGCACGGGATGGGCTCAAAGTTCGGAGGGAAGTGTGTCAGGGTGGCCTTCTTCGAGGACAGGGACTTGTCGGTGACAAACTCATCTAGTCTGTCCTCCAGCAACTGAGGAAGCATGACGCATACACATAAGACAAAAACTTACTTCATTGAGCTTTCATTAGAAGATATTGACAGTGTGTTGGTAGGATTTTTTTTTGGGGGGGGGGGGAGTAAAGAAAAGGACATTTATACAGTAACAGCCATTCGGCAAAGGGAAAAGCAAGACAGACAAGCAGATATAAGACAAAAAGAATCAGATTTTCCACTGAGAGTAACAGCATTTACGTAATAAGGACACGACAGACAAGAATGGTTGTCAAAATCTATCAATAAATGTGAGAGAGTTTTAGTTTTAGTAGAGGTTTTACGGCCCTCGCAACGTCATATGAGCGCCAGAACATTAGAGGTGTTACAAGAGAGTAACAAACCTAAAAAAGAAGAAGGGGAGATAAGGACGATAGATGTTTGATAGGAAAGAAGAAGCAAACCACACCAGAGCACCCGTCAACCACACCCCAAATGTGAGAGAGAAAAAAAGAAGTACCGTCAAGCAAAAATCACCAAATCTCACCCAAAAACCATGAAAAAATTTTTTTTTCAGGTTGCAAAAATCAACCTAAAAAGAAGAGAGAAATTACAGCAATCAGCGCAGTGCTTCCACCATCTGAAGCTGAAAAGTAAGGAAAATTCTGCAGGGGGTCTGGGGGCCTCAGAGGCCCCCAGCAGGGTCCAGGGAGAGCGTCCCGGTGGGTGTCCAGGGGGTGAAGCCGCCGAAGAAATTGTAATTTAGTGCTTTTAGAGGGTAGAAAATGGCATTTGGGAGCCTGTTTGAAGATATTGCCTACAGCCCATAATATTTATTTTTTCACCAACATTTTGTCTTGTTTGACTTCATCACCAGCATATCTTTCCAATGCTGGAAATGTTTAAAAGCAGGTTCCCCTTTCATTGCTACTATAATTCAATTAATTTGTAGTCGCACCATTGACAGCAGGCAAACCTGGGAATAATGAATAGATCTACCTTCAAAATACGGTTGCGCAGCGTATACATACATTTTTTCTAAATTTTCATGTATGAAAGTCGCCTGTCACAACCTCGAAACACCACTTCGAATTATTCTTGATTTTATACGTGGTGCTCACTATGGACGGGCCGATCGCCCGACTCGATCGCCTCAAAAACAAACGTGTTTGTTTTCAGTTTCAAAACAAACACGGTTGTTCGACCGAGTCGGGCGATCAGCGCAATCGGCCAATCCCATCCATAGTGGGCACGACCGTATCAGCATATTTGTTTCATCGCGGCCATTATCCTTATATTGCGTCCACGTGCCGTAGAATCTTCGCATTGATAATTTCTCTAGATCTAGATAAAATTAGCTAAAAAAGTTTCTTTCCGACAGTAATTTTCTGTCTTAGATCAAAATCAGTCTTGATCAACGTGCAGATTTTCCAGCCGCGGCAACAATCCGAAGATAGACAGAAGGAATGAGTGGAATGACAGAAAGGAGGAAGTTGTCACAAAAGGTTCGCCAGATTTTGATCCATCTGCAGGTAAAAAATGTACTGCCGACCAGCACGCAATGAATGCATGGGACTGGGACATAGCGGTATAAATGTCCGATTGCAGGAAATGCGCAATTTGGCAGGTTTCTATAACGTTAAATTGTTGCCGAGAGAATTACCGTAAATATCCGTACCTTATACAAGACGATACAAAGGCGAGTACGGAATTTCGGCAGTCCTGCACTGTCGCAGTTTTTTTTACAGAGGGAGTAGATGATGATGGAGGGACAAGTACGGAACTGGCAGAAAGTACGGATTTCCGTAAAAATACGGAAGAGTGGAAGCACTGTCAGTGAATTACATTCATTACTTGCTTGTTTACTTACCCTTTTGTCTGTGACAGGCGTGAAGAGAGACTGGTCCCCTGAGGCACCAGAGTCCAAAATACTGAAGGCTTGACACGAGTGCATCTGGCCACCTATCTGCTCCTGGAGCTCCTGGATAGTTTGCACCTCTTCCTGTAAAGAGAGTCATGTCCTTTAGTCAAAGAAGTGGTGATTTGAAAATAGCGGTAAGCCAAAAGAAAAGAAAATTCAAATTTTTTTTACTTCTACAGTCGACTGCGGATGAATTGAAGTCATTGGGGGAGTGAAAAAAAAAATCAACTTATCCAAAGTTCAACAACCATTGGGACCTGAAGAGAAGAGGTGCTGGGACCCGAGAAAAAGAATTAACTCAACCAATGATCAACTCAACCTGAGTCGACTGCATTTGAGCAATGTCTCTAAACCAAAAACTGGGCTAAATCGCAGAAAATACCGCAGTTCTGAAGATTTCAGTTTAAGCTGACTACACTGTAGCAGCTTCTATCAGGTGAAGGTGACAAAAAGTCTTTCCTTGACAAATTATGGTTGCCGCTTCTCAGCTTTTGTTTGACTGCTCACACAGCAATCTCTTTAAAAAAATATCTTACATCGGGTAAACATTCAAAGGGCCGGTGCCCTTTTAAAATGACTGATATGCTCTGGCAAAAGTACTTGTAAAGCCCATAGAGCATGTATGTGATATATAAATGCAATTATTGTTATTATCACCATAAATCTAAAGACTGACACATCAATTAAGCTTATCACTCAGCCTCACGATACGGCCCAGAGCTAGTGTATGTCTGGCATGTAACTGACATAACCCCCATGATGATATGCATAAAAAGTTGTCTGTTCAATTGCACGTGGAAAAGCATGACAAAGTACACATGTAAAAAATTGTTAAACTTCATTCAGGCAAGTAAAAAAGAAAATTAAAATAATTTGTAACTCACTCACCGCCATTGCCACACTTGTGTCGGTCGCATATTTTCCTCTTTATTTCTACTAATTGCCAACACATATATATGCGGCAACGGCATAGTACAATTACTAGAGTAACATCCCTTTGACCACTCAGAGCAGTTTCACTTTATTAGAATGATTTCCCTTAACGTTCTGCCAATTTTTGGAATGGGAGTTCCCTTTGTCCTATTTCTGGGTTTTGTTTTGAAGATTGGGCGGCCGATGTCTAATATGATGCTAAAGCCGATATGAATTGAAAATGGCTCTAAATTTTAGAGATTCTGAATCAATATAATTCAATAAACTAGATTCAGATGCTGGAAGTGCAAAATAATCAAATGGTAGTGATGGTAGTTTGAGATAGAGAAAGAGGTAGATCACCTGTCGCCAGCAGAGTAGGCTAGTACTAATACTAGTACAAGTCCTTACTAGAGTCTAGTATGATTCAAGTGGTGACGCTTGAAATAGTGTTGCTTAAGTCATCAAAAACTTATAAATTTAGTTTTCTTTGTTTTGTTAAATATTTTTGTGTGTATTTTAGCACAGAAACGGTAACACTCTCACAAAAACAGCAAAAATATTGTACTGGCTTGTTAGGCCAAAAAAAAAAGTTTTAGTCCCCAAAACTTTTCGTTTTTTGAAAAGCTATATACAACATGAACAGAATAACAGAGTCAAAATTCTTTCTGTTCTGTAAAGCTCAACATCTACTGAAACTGGCCAATTTTCATAAATCTAGCATAAATAAGTACAGAGTAACCAGATTTTAAAGAGGTAAAAAAAAGCTGGCAGGCTGCGGCATGGTCTGAGCTAAGGTGATTTAATGTGAGTTAATGTGACAGGAACAATGTACATAATACATACAACACATACAACGATAGCCATATTGCTTTCCTTACCTTAATTTTGGGCGACTGTGACTGTTTCTTGTAACCAGCTAAAGCTTTCTTACAATTATCCAAGGCTCTTTGATATAATGCTACTGTTTCTTTCCATTTCTTAGCACTAGAGTATGAACGAGCTATATAGAAGGACCTGAAATAAAGAAAAATCTTGTTAGTGATAAGGTTTACTTCTAGTAAGAGAATTACATGTAAAGCACTTACAACACAAATAGGTCATATGTGAGGCAGTGTGGTGAAATAAGGTGCTCGTCAAAATAATGAACGTCAAGAAACTGGCATTTTTCTGCAGGTTTGGGAATTTTTACCAAAATTTTATTTCTTGGGTCAACACCTTTCCTGTCCATTAAAGAACACATTTTGGAGTGGATTTTACAGAAAAACGTTGATTAAAGGCCTAAAACATGTAGATTTTCAGTTTCCACGGACTCTCAAAATAAGGAAATAACTCAACTTTGGCAGCCATTTTTTTGCGAATTTTACCTCTGAAACCAGGTGACCCCCGCCTTCTTCAATTGCGAATATCTTTACTTGTGTCAGAGATAAATGGATACTTTTTTCATCACAAGCAAGGCAAATGGACAGGCTTTAAGACAATATCAATAACTCCATATGCTCCAAAATCGACAAGCACCTGATTCCACTGCACCAAGACACATATAAGTGCTGAAGATTAGAGTTGTTACTAAAAAAAAAATAACCTACCAAAAAAAAAAAAAAAGACAGAAAAAGGAGAGATAAGGACGATTCATATTTGATAGGAAAGAAAGAGCAAACCACACCAGAGTGCCCCACAACAATCCACTTATTTATTTTGATAGAATAATTAATACATCAAACAAAAAGTTTAATTTATTCCCCCCCCCCCCCCCCCCCAAGGCTAAAACATTTATGATATCAAATGTTATATCTTTCAAACGATAACTTGAACACGTAGTTTATCTATAAATCTCACCAATGTTTCTTGTACTCACCTAAAAGCTTTGTATCTTAAAACAGAAGCCTCTGTTTCTGACTCTATGGTGGGATCGTCCTGTATACCATGAAGGTTGGGGATCTCTGTCAAGTTCTGAAAACGGGAACAAAAAGAAAAAAGAAATTATGCCGTTTTGAGACAGCAAACCAAAGTTAAAGTTAAAGTAGAAAAATACACAATTTTTTTTAGACTACAAATATGGTTCTCAGGGAGAACAGCTTTAGTGGGAAAAAAAAACAACACGCAAGCTCAAAAGCCGAGTATATTAACCATGGTTTATCTTGACACTTGCCAGAAACCCACTTACAAGAGTTTTTGGGTTCCTTTACACATACAATTCATTCATCGACAAACTGGCAGTTTATCCAAAGGACGCTAGATATGGGTCATTGTTAAACTGAGTTTGTCAACGAGAGAAGTTCCATTTAGATATACAGTTTATTAATCTTTAAAGTGTCAGTCCTTGACAAAACACACCAAAAAAAATTAACTTGGTAATCCAGCATAAATTGTATTCCCTGTGTGAATTTGACTAATTTCGGGTCGCTGATCATGAAAATATTATTTTATTAATTTGACCAATATTTAGGAAAATTTTGGAATGCATTTTCAACTCCGCCTGGGGCAAACATCAAGGAAGCCGCTCCCTCGTCATCATGCCTTCAGTTTGCCGGCCGGCAAATGTCTGGCGTCGCCAGATATCTGGTGGTTGGACTGAGAACCCTTCGATATCGAGAGGATTGCTTGTTTCCATGCTCAGTTTTACCGGGGAAGTTGACGGGATGTCAATCATTTTTTCGAAAGCTTGTCGATCAATGATCTGTACGTGTAAATGTACAAAGGAACTAATGGAAACATTTTTGATAAATGACACACAAAGGGGGAAAAATGATTTATAAAAACAGAACAATATTAAAACACATTAAGGCTTGTTATAGTTCTTTTCAAAACATATCATACCAATACCGTAAATTGAATCTCTCAGTCCTGGAAATACGCATTTACCTGTATAATGATGTCGTAAAGGCGCACCAGGTCCTGGGGTTTGGTCAGCTTGCGGCCTTCCTCTGGGTTGTTCTCTGGAAGGTTCTGCTTGAGGTTCTCCACCAGCAGCAAGTTGCGTTCCACAGTGGTGCTCAGCCGCAGGTACATCAAATACGAGTGCAGGTAATGTGCATTTGAGATTTTCCCTTCGATGGGCTGGCCGCGTACTGCTGCTTTGAATACCTGCGGAAAGCAGAAAAGAACAAGCTTGAAAATCAATAAAAGAGAAACTTACTACAAAAGGCAATTTTTAAAAAACTGAAACAGCTGAGCACACCCTTTGGAGGACTGCTTTGCATCAAGAGTAGAAACACCAGTCCCACGAACTGAATTTTGTTTTGTCTTAGCATGAGTTTTACGGCACTTGCAACACAATTTAGGTCATAAAAATGCTGGATATTAGAAATGTTACAAGAGAGTTTCGTAAGAGTATTATGACACTCGCAACACAATAAGGTCACTTTACTTCAGTAGAGGTTTTACGGCGCTCGCAACTGCATAAGGTCATATGAGCGCCAGAAGATTAGAGGTGTTACAAGTGAGTAACAAACATAAAAAAGAAGGAGGGGAGATAAGGATGATAAATGTTTGATAGGAAAGAAGAAGCAAACTACACCAGAGTACCCGTCAACCACCCACACAATAAGTCATGTAAGTGCCAAAGATTAGAGGTGTTACAAGAGAGAAACAAAAACAAAAAAGAAAGAGAGATAAGGACGATACATGTTCGATACGAAAGGAGGAGAGAACTACACAAGAAGACCTGCCAACTACCCACTAAATACAATTTTTTAATTATCTTTCCACAATGGTTTTCAACAGGTAAAGAAATACACTCAAACGTCTTTTAAAAAGACCGCAAATCACATTACAACTTCCTCTTTAAAACAGCAACATCCCACCCTCACCCCTGCAAAAATATGACCATCCTCTTCACTTTTCACCAAGGCAACAGAACACTAATATAAACAATGCAAGCTTTGCTTCCAATTCTTAGACAGCACACATTGCGCAAATTAAAAGAGATTTTTGTCAATGTTTTCCTGAGGCTTCACTTTCCTAAACGGCACAAAGCATATCAATCTAAAAGTGCCAACCCCCCTCATCATACCTGGTCCTCTTGCAAAACATCCCGGAGAGCCTGCTGAGCGTCAATGCACTGTTTGAGCAGGCTCTCGTAAATGGACACCCGGCTGTCCATGCTCTCTGCAGCCTCCAGTTCCGTGTTGAGGTCCTGCATGTTGAGCAGAAACAGTCGCACTGCTTCCACCTTCACTGGCACCGTCCGGCCTCGCCAAGTTACCTCCGACAACGTGGCCGCTTGCTTCTCTCTCGTTTGTGACAAAAGGTCCTTTAAAATAGAAAAATAAAGACAGGTGTTCAACTTTCTTCAAAAATAGAAAGGTCAAAGAGTTTAGTAGGTTTCAGTCCAGTATTTTCATTAACAGAAACCTATACCTCACATAAATTCGTAAACTGAGATTGAAAGTGCAAAATCTAAAAGCTTAACATATATCAACTTTAAAAGGCAACATAATAAATACAATGTCAACAATATCAGGTTTTGAATGCAGTTCATCACAGAAAGGGAAATAATGAAATTCAATTACTGTACCATCATTTAAATTTCCTTTTTAGCATCTACATCTAATTAATAATATATCAAGATATGATTATTCAAGCAACCTGTCAATTTATTGCTCTGTTTCTGTTAAGGTGGATTGAGATTTAATCCTCTACGTGCGCACCACGACCACTGGTCGTGATGACTCATACCTCCCTTCCGCGCATCGTGACCACCGGTCGTGATCCGACATGAGTATAGACAGAGCTGTTAAAGTACTTTTTAAAAAGTACTGAAGTACAAATTTAAGTACAATTTAAAAAATGTACTTAAGTATAGTAAAAGTAAAAGTACTTTCCTGTAAAATGTACTTGAGTACAAGTACTTTTTAAAAAAGTACTTATGAGTACATTTTGAGTACTTTCTGCTAATATGCTAAAACACTTCAGCGCTTTTGCAAAACATCATATTAAAAAACATATCCAGTATATTTGACAATTAGGCTATTTATTACTAAAAATGTAAACAGTATACAAAGCATTTGAAACAAAGTACGCACTGAACGAAGGTGGAAATGGTCTGTGAAATTGAAAAAATGACCCCAAACAAACAGACGCAACTAGTGGGTAAGTGACATTATGAATAGAACTTGTTTGAGCAAGACAATGTGATCAAATGTAAGTCAGTCCAAGAGGTCGGAAAGTTCTACAGAAAAAGTATCCAAATTGGAAAATGTAGATACAAAGCTGCTCTTAAGAAAACATAAAATTAATGAAAACGGCCAGCATAGAAATGGAAAAGTGCATTGAATTCTTCATTAACAAATCCTCAAGGAATCATTGTAGCCTTAAGCAAAAACCCAAAAAATAAAAGTTTAAAAGAAATTTAGGCAGCCTTAAAATTTGTTAGATATACATTGAGAACACCGTTTCTGTTTCAATTGATAATTGGTAATACAGATTTTGGTCACACTGTGTAGTCGACGGCGCCCACGGAAAACCAAAATACATGTAGTTTCCTAGGGTCTAGTAAGTGTAGTGTAACCAAAGATTCTCTACTACAGTAAGTCTCCGCCTAAGATCCCAGTGCTCGGAAGAAAGAAAAATAATTATTATGGGATCTCAGCCGACGAAGCCAAGGAAGAATCTACAGTGACCCATGAACTGACGTGACCCCTGGGTGGATTTATGACATATGACGAGCAAACGAGTGGTCAACCTTGATGACCAATCACAGTGGCATGAGGCATGCCATAAATAATATATAAACACACTCATTAGCCTATCGTGAGTCTTGAGATCTTTATCTACGTTTAACCAGTTGCTCCTCCCCTTCACCTGTCCAACAATTTTAGCTTTCCATCTCTGATTGAGTCCCCCCCCCCCCCCCCAAACCGCCTTTACTTTGTCGTTACGCACCATCACGTTCTGACCACACCAATTAAAATTCAGGCTGTCTCGCAAATTCGGGAAAAGAGAAAAACTGCTTTCAATGGTCAGGGAAGAGTTCACAGTTTGATGTGATCCCGCCTGGAGCGAACTTGTAGGCCCTACCCACCCAGTGAATGATGTAAGTTTAGGTGGTGAGCTCAGATGCGAGTGCGATGTTCGGGGAAGAGAAGCGCATCGGTCAGTTCACACCTTGGTGTGATCCCGTCTGGAGCAAACACTGTACCGTTTCATGGAGTTTTAAAACGCTTGTGATCACATTCACGATAGTGGCTGATCTTTGACGGGACGGGCCGTTCTTTGATCTCAACTTTTAACTCTTGATTGATCGGCTGTGCCCGCCCGGGTGTTTGTTCCATAAATTATTATCAGAAATGGAGGCACTTACCCTTTTGTTAAGCTTCAAAAGTACTCAAAATGTACTTGAAAAATACTCAAAAGTACTTTTATAAAAAGTATCGGAGTACAGTAAAAGTACTGTTTTCAAAAATGTACCGGAGTACAGTAAAGGTACCGAAAATTGTAACGTAAGTACAAGTACTCCGTTACAACCAGCTCTGAGTGTAGAAACTATACCGCCGACATGACAATAGCCATTTTTTAAACTGCTGGTGACTACAGTTCACCAGTGCAACGTTTATTAGCGCCGCTGGCAGCGCATTTCGCAGTGAGGGATCGGTTGGGAGTTTTTATCGGCAATTTTCTGGGATATTGTTTACAGTTTTCAAAATGTCGGATTCGTCAGCTGATTTACACTCAGATTTACCTAACATTTTTCTGGAATCGGACCACTGAGATAAAGAGTTAGAAGGATTAGGTCTCAAGTAAAAGATTTAGATCTAGGTGTGAATGATGGGGATATCGTGTCATAGATCTAGATCTAGCGTGGTTAAGCCTAGAAGGGGACGTCGATATTCCTGCTGATCTCCAAGCAGGCTGGACTAAAAATGATGAGGAATTTGATACCAACAACAACATCATTAAAAACACATCGGACCAGACATAAGGGTAGTTCGTAGTTTAAGACACATTTTTCCTTCTTACTGTAATTAGAAATTATGATAAATAAGAAAGATATGAGCTTTTTTTATAGCCATGTTGAAAATAAGCATTTTTCTAAAATAAACCTAGCACTGAAGGGAAGTAAAGGTAAAAATGGTTTAGCGCTTAGAGGGTTAATATTACACAGTAGTCTCCACCTAAGATCCCACCATTTACGGTACTGGTTCGCCTAAGATCCTGCTGCTTTTTTACTATGTAAAAGTCACCCCTAAGATCCCGCACTGAAGGAACTACATTCAGCTAAGATCCCGCTTTTCAGGTCATAATTTAGTTGTTTTTTTCTTTATTTACGAAAAAAAAAAAAGAATAAGAAACATGGGCGCTCTCAGCTGATCAACCAAGTAACGAAAATGTGCAATCATTGTACGGTCCGTCGCTTCACTGATCATTCACTCTCATGAATGTGATCACACCTGTGTTGTAAATGTCGATAAGCGGTTCCATTGTTTACCCCCGACGGGATCTCACCAAGGTGTGAACTCTTCGATTCCTTGCTTTCCCCCATCACCTGCGCCGTCCGCCTGATCTTACATCACACACTAGGTGGGGAGGGTCTACAAGCAAGCGTCAGACTGCATTCCATCAAACTGTGAACTCTGGGATGCTTATGTTTTCCCCAACCATCACTCTTGTCTTTCAGTTTTGCGCTTTAACTTCCTAGACAGACTGGCGCTCATACTCGTGGACTGTCCGATTGCCTTTGCGATATGGGGTCATCTGTTGGCAGTGAACTTGCCTTTCATATTTCTAAAATTTGGTAGGTGTGGTCACAACACAATGATTTATGTGGCACCATGATAGGGGTGGGGAACTCAGAGATCGAAAACAATACATTTTTGGCGCGGGGCATAGCTTGGAGCCAACTGGCTCCCACTCCCACCTGACACGGTATTTTTTAAAAAGCTTCTCTCCCCCCTCCCAACCTCCAGACAAAAAAAGGAAAAACTGACTTTTGAAAAGAACTTTTAGAGCCCTGGAGTCACGTCAATTCATTTTAAAGTAAGGGAAGATCATAGTACAGATTATGGGCCTGACTATGAGTTACTGTGGGGTCTTCCCACTGGCCATTCGGCTAAGATCCCGGTTACCTAAAGATCCCGCATTTTCCTTGCTCCCGAGCAGCGGGATCTTAGGCGAAAACTGAAAAAAGTGCACTGTCTGCTATATGCTCATGTCGAATAAGGTTTTATAAGTTGTAATGGTGGGTGTAGTCATTAGTTTCCATGGAAAAGGAGACTTTATTGAAAATACTTGCAAAAAAGTCTCACATCTAGCTTCAGTGTCAGCTGGTCTTCACCAGCAGCAATCCTCATCTTTTGTAGATCCTGCAAAGCCGACTCATCACCAATGTTGTATGCACAGTAGCGCAAGTTGGGGGAAATCTCATCGACTCTCTGCTGGTACAAAGCTTGCAATTCCTCTGAGAAGGCATTTGCTAGTTTCTCATAAATAGTCCTGGGAACAGAGAGGTCCAGTGTTTAATTAGACTCAAGAAATAAAAAAGACGATATTGCAAGCAAATCATTACTCAACTGCAGAGCATTTGCTAAACAAAAATAACACACCAAAGACACTTTCTTTTTCAGTCAAGGAAGTGGTATGTTGTACGACAAAGAAGAAGATAAATTCAACAAAGTTCAACATTGTCATAATAATAATCAATGAAATTTAAATAGCGCTCAACCCCAATTAAATAACAAAAGCTCTTTTTTTTTTTGGGGGGGGGGGCAAGTGTTTTATGGCGCGGGCAACTGCATATGGTCATATGAGTGCGCGGGACACGTTTAACATTTTTCAGTAGGTAGGCAATTTTGAATTTTGCGCAGGTGGCAGCTGAAGCCTACTCTTATCGATTTTAGATCACCAAGGGATCTTTAACGTGCGCAACTTGCACACGGGACCTCCGAGATTTTTCGCCCTTTTCCAAGAAGGCTGGGTGTAGATCTTTCCTACCAGAAGATCAGGGGTGTGGCTGAAAGACAGCAGTAAGGAGCCAAGGAATAGAAAGCTGCAGAAAGAGTCAGGAGCCCAGAGGAGGGGGCAAAGGAGGTGATGCGGTGGGCACAGAAAGTGGAGACGAAGGCAGACGACAGAACATTGCTTGAGAGCAGGAAAGGAGGTGAAAGGAGACAATTTTAGAGAAGAAAATTTTTCCGTCGCTATCCGGATTCAAACCTGGGACCTTTGAATGAGAGGCGAACACCTTAACCTCTTGGACACGAGAGTCCCCATACAAGCTCTGGGGGCTTTACAAATACAATAGCAACACATAAACAGTCCATCGTGTTCCACTACATGTCTCTCTCGCTACATATTATTCATTAATCTAAAAACAGTAATGACTTTTTAATTCAAAGTTTCATTGATAGTAAAAGTATTTCTTTTTGTCAGCTGATGACCTTCAATTGCAAGTCGTAAATAGTTTTAACAGAAAAGACAAATATGATGGCACATAATCATTCAAGCATTTATGACAGGGTGGTCAACTTTACATAATTCTTTTCTCAGAAGTTACCCAGTGCAATGTCCATAAAAGAGGTGTAGCAGAGTCTCGCTTTTTTTATTATAAAACTAAACACACAGCATTGTTTTGGGTAATTTGAAGTCTTTTCCTTTTTCCAGAGATAATCCTGATAAGGAAGAGTTACAATAATCAAGTCTTGATAAAACTAAGCTATTTTAAACTAATAGAACAGAATATTAAGTATTGATTACACAACATATTTTAATGTTTTCTTATTTCTAAACACATGAAGCTGATCAGACTATTTTCCTAAGCCAACATTTGACAAATTGGAATAAAAATAGATGCAACGGTTTCAACATTTTCTTGAAAATACAGATTCCACATCATCAATCATCACGTGATCATTGTCGACCTCATAGACTTTGCACTGCCGACCGGTTTGACTTCTATTTTATCATTATTCAACATTAATTTATTTTTGTTCATCCACTTTTTCACTACAATTTTCAGCATGATGTACAAGTTCATCTAAGTTTATAGACATTGCTGAACCATGAATTTGAGTATCATCAGAAGAGAAAATGCAAAGGGCTTACTTGGCTTTGGTGTACAACTCCATTGCACTCTCCCAGTTTTCTGTCTCAAACTGCAAGCTTCCTTTGATCCATGCATTGTATGCCTGAAAACAAGTGAAAATGAAATTTGAACTAACTATCCTGAAACAGCTAAACAATACAACACAAAACCTGTGACTACCTTGTAAAGTATACAACCTAAGACACAATACTTAGTAGAGGTGTATACGTTGTTGTTATTTGTCAAAACAACTGGCTTTATGACTGGTTTGTACACGCTTAGAACCAGGCCACAATTTGCTCTTTTGAGAAAAAAACCTAATTGTGAGGTCATAAGAAAGGCAAAAGCACGCACACAAAAAAACACCCTTTGTTAACTATCTCAATATCAAAGGAAAGGAATGAGAGGAAGAAAAAAAAAGGATATGTTTCCATGGTGCAGACTGACAATTGCTCTAAAATCAAGTATTTGCCAGGACACATCATTAGCAAAAGATCAATAACACTGCCAAATTTTCCACTACGTTCAATCTTAGTTTTAGAAAGTCCTAAAAATGTTTTAAACTTTTTTTAACCGGGAGGCGCGCAAGGAAATCTTTTTAAAAATCTATTCATATCTCACCATTAAAGATTAGAAATCATTTCTCATTACAAAAGCTCCTCAGAGGTACAATTAACTATGCAATCAGCAATACTGACAATATTTTAAGAACAAACGGTTTATGTGAAGCCTTTACACCCTATTCACCTATTATAAAGTAACACAATGCATGAAACTACAAAACACTTCCCAAAAGAAATAATGACTAGAATGAGTGAAAACAAGTTTAGCTACTGACAGTACCTGGCACTCAAGCTTGGTTCTTGCATCACATTTCTCACTATCACAGAGGCTGGCAAGCTCCTCTGAGTAGACAACAGCCTTCTTCAGCTTGGAAACCATATGGAAGCGCTTTCGGGGCTCTGTGTTGGCCTCCGACTTGAGCTGCATAGCATATGCCCAGCATCTCTCAGCACAAAACAGTGGCAATTGTAAATATCTGAAAATATGTACAGGTATTTATTAGTGAAATATGTCAATGAAGCTTACTTTCAATAGCTCTTTAAAAATTTCCAAATTATCTTCAGCGAAGTTCTCTTCTAAACTTATTTTTCAACACTTCCCTTGATCGTATCTGTTTAAAGATCTCAAAATGACTACAATAATGTGAACAATTTATGATACACTTACAGTTTGTCTGAGCATAAGAAGAGTTTCTTAGTCGTAAACAATCTTTCTAAAACTACAGTATTACCTAAGGTCTGAAACTTTTACTACGGAAAATACGTTGCGAGCGCCATAAAAACTCTTACTAAAACAAACAAACTAAAAACAGAATAAACAAGGTTTCAAAACAAAGCAAAGAAAAATGTGAAAGTCTAAGACTAAATGTGACCAACGCACAAATGTTTGAAAAACTGCAATGGAAAGAACAATGTGAAAAACAAAAATTCACATTACCATATTTTATTGGCCTATTCCAACTCCCCTCTACTTAAGGCAAAATGTTACCTTGAATCTGAAAGAATTTCTGGTGTCACTTTTTTGGGTGCAACACGATTCCTATTTCCTTGAGGAAAGTGAAGTGACTTCCTGATCCTTCTGATTCTGCGAGAGCAATACCCTCTGTGGAAATATATACAATAGTTATTTATTTCTAGCAAATGTGACATAAAACAATCTATAAAAAGGAACAAGAAAGCAACTTTCTGCTGTGCACTAAACAAAAGAAAACACATGGCAAATGAGTCGGAGAGTGGACAATGAACACCATAAGAATTTTTTTTAAATCCAAATCCTTCATTTCATAAAACTGGATGTATTGGTTCTATACTTATATTTCTAGAAGGAAAAAAAAGGTACATCCAAAACGAAAGGGAATCACTACATTTTCAAAAACTATCATTTCAAAATCAATGTGAATGATAATTGTTAAGCAAAGAAAAGCTTACCATTTGAATACAGCCTTTAGTAAAAACAAGTCAATAGAAAAGAAAAAAATAGAAACTGTTAAAAACAAATGATTTTAAACTAAACCAGAACTTATACTTTAACTCTGACCCACAGTAAAAGAAACAAAAGACCACAGGCTCCAGACCACCAACAGTATCAGGTTTGACTAACCTGTATCTCTGGAAATCTCCATGACGCAGACCATGCTGCTGTTGGGCATCCTTGAGGAGATGCAAGGCTGCAATATACAAAAGCAAAAAAAGTTAAGTCAGATGAAAATTTTAAAAAACCAAAATGAATGAAATTCGGAATAGCACCAGTTCCCCTCTATGCCCTACAGAAAAATCTGTTACTACATGATACTTTTTCTAACAAGAATGTTTCATTATTCCAAGCACCTCGTTAATCCAGTATGGGATGTTATAAATAACACTTGCATTGCAGTCGGAAAATATCTTCTGGGGCCAGTCAAGCCAAATTGTAGACAAAATGAAAGTTCTAATACAGCATCAAAATGGATGTACATAAGTGCTGTGCTACATCAAGAAGAGTGGAAGAGCGTAAAAATGCAATCGTCCAAAGCCTCCTGCATCTGCCTAAAATACTTTTGACTCTAATAAAGACAAAAGAACTTGTTTCTATTCTTGTACATGATTTTTTCATACAAATTATTTACTTAACGGGAGGAGCGACCCTCAGTTTGGCTGATTTTGGACCAAGCTATGCAAATTGATCTTTTAAGGTCAACCTATTCTTTGAGTACAAATAGGAAGGAGACAATTGAGAAAATCTTCATTCTCATCGTAAATTGTCTTTAAAAACAGGGTGGGTTAAAAATTGTAGTGGATTTCCACAATAACTGTTGTTTTCTCAAAATATTTTTTTTTCTTTTTGCAGTTTTCCCCCTACCCCTTTCTAAGTTTTCATCCTTTTAACATGAAACTTTCAGTAAACATAGATGGCAAGGCTGCCATCAATGTAACAGAGAAAACTTGTGAAAAAAATAACTTTTCCATTGGCAGGCGATTACTCAACCAAAATTGAGAAAAGGTTTAATACATTGGGAAAATTCTCAATTTTGTTTTTCTTTTACTTATTCATGGGTCTCAACCCAGAATTTTAAAAAAGGAGGAACTTTCCACGTGATCGTGACAGAAACCATTTTCGTGAGACACCCATTGTTATATTTTTAAAATACTTTGATAGGGACTGGTTCAGGTATACTCTCACCAAATTTGTTGCATTTTTGTTTTATTAAGCGTTTTATGGCACTTGCAACACAATAAGGTCTATAAGTTCCGAAGATTAGAGGTGTTACAAGAGAGTAACATACACATAAAAAGAAGGAGGAAAGATATGTACGATAGATGTTTGATAGGAAAGAAGCAAACCACACCAGAGCACCCGCCAACCACCCAGTCACAAAATTTGGATAGTAAATAAGAAAGCCTTGGGAATTTGAAATTTATTGTTTACTTTCAAAGGTGGCGGCTGTTTCCATAGCAACCACTGTAGCTATGCAAAAATAAAAGTACGTATTGAGATTTTTTTCTATCTATTCCTAACTTACCTATGTACTTAGATTTGATCTCGGGCAACAACATACAAAATGAACCTCGAGGGTCGCCCCTCCCATTACAGTTCACATTACAAATACATGGCTGTTGGTAGCAGCATTGGTGATGTCCTGCATCTTAAAAAAGGCAGTGGTGTACTACTGACAGTATGTCTAGTGAAAAAATGTCCAGACCTCTGGTACTTACGTAATCAGACTACTTCAAGATGCAAAAACTACTCAGTAGTGCTTCTATGAGCATCAGCTCCTGAAAAGTAAGGAAAATTCTGCCAGGGGTCTGGGAGCCGCAGAGGCCCCCAGCAGGGTCCAGGAACAGCCACTCAAATTTAGTGCTTTTAGAGGGTTAAAAACAGCATATTTATGAGCCTGTCTGAAGAGATTTCCAAAAAACCAAAAACACCTATTTTTTCACCAAGATTTTGACACTTATTCGATTTCTCAACCTACAAATCTTTCCATTGCTGGCAATGTTTAAAATTTAAATTAGGTTCCACTTGCCGTTGCTTAGTAATTATAATTCATAACATATCCTGAAAGGAGAATATAGGTTTTGCCAAGGAACCAAATGTCATAAAGGGAATGTTCACGCTTTTCACTATGATAGAGGAATCAATCATGAATACATAGCTATCCTCTAATCCATGTCATCTTCGCAAACAGGAAAATGGTACATTCGTATGAAGATTTACCTTGTGAATGCTGACCATTGAGGTTTAGGAGAGTCCTAGCTGCAGACTTTATCTATGGACAGACTTCTCACGGGGCTTATCTAATGAATGCTGTACCCTGGTGACATTAAAAGGGGTGCGAACAGTGTGTTTGACCTGAAGTGGTTATTTTGTCCGGGAATTTTTAGTTCTGATTCTCTACACGGCCTAAAAGGTGGACAACTTTCACCCTTGACATCAAAGGAGGTCTTAATTCTTTCAACCCCATCGCTGGGAGCATCCGGCAGTAAAAACCCTGTTCCCAATTGAACGCTGGGAACATTTGATATTAGCGACAACTGTTTTGTTTCATTTGGCGCTAATTTTTGCTCGTTTTTCAGAACTATTCGCGATCCTGGCAAGTTTTCTAAGTAATGAAAAAGCCTTTGTTTCCACTATTTAGAAGTTAAGGGCAAGCTTCTGGGGTTATAATGAGATAGTGCACCAGGTTTAGGTGACTGTAGAAAAAACTCCTGGAAACGGTGGAAAAAAACTCAGGGTTTAAAGAGTTAAAGGACACTAAAAGATTATTTCCACTCATTGCGCGAAACTAACAAAATGAGTTGGTGGTGAGGAAACATTCATTACAAAAAGCTCTCTGCTCTTTACTAATCTAGACCATGATCTCAACAAGCAAGGAAACTTGAGAAAAACTATCTGCAAATTTCTGTTGGCCTGTTAGACTACTGTAGCTTGCTATATGACCCAATCATTAGGACATTAAGTGGTAGGCCATGCGAACTAGTGCGTCAGGCTACAAAAATGGGGACATAGTTAAAAATGGGTTGTCTTTTTGTGCGCTATGTAAATAAAAACTAAAACATGGATTTATTTTAAAAGAATATCAGAAAATATATCATGACACGATGGAAACAGGCGCTCGTCAATTTTTGGATAAATGGAATGATTGGTACCATTATAAAGCTTGCTCATTTGTCTTGCTTGTGATAAAAAAAATTACCCATCTATCTTGAGTAGAAGTTAAGATATTTGCAATTGAAGGACGTGGGGGTCACCTGATGTCAGAGGTAAAACTAGCGAGAAAACGGCCGCCAAAGCCTGGTGTTTTACATAGCTTCAGAGACCCTGGAAAAAAATAAATTACATTTTTTGTGCCTTTCATCAACTTTTTTCACAGAAATCTCCACAGAAATCTCCACAGAAATGTGTTTTTCAATACATATAAAAGGTGTTGAACCAAAAATTAAAAAATTTTAAGAAAAAAAAGCAAAACCGGCAGTAAAATGCCAATTTCTCTGATTTCATTATTTTGATGAACGCCTGATTTCCCCACGCTGCCTCACAAATTTCTTTGACTCAAAAATATGTACACAATTTGAAACACAAAACTTTGGAGTACAAGAAAATATTAACAAAAAAAGTTGCTTAGTTTTTTTTGGGATCACCCTGTAGATTCGACTCTCCGATCTTCCTGATACCTCTTATTTTCTGTAATTTACTCAATTTGGAAATATTTGATGATTTTTCTAGGAACTCACTTACTATGTAGCTATGCCAATCAGGCTTCCGAGCGTGGCGAAATTTTGGTCCCAGTTTGCAGAACGTAAGTGACTAACTTTGTCAAACTTGTTCCACACCATTTCCAGACCAATGCGAATGGAACTAGGCAACTAATCAGAAAACAGGGCAAACTAATGATATGTGGACATTGAAGTTGGGACAGATAAATTAACCTGTATTTTTGGAGTCGGAAACCCTTTCGTATCAGGTATACCGAAAACTATAAGCAGCTTGATTTTCAAAGCGGAGAAGGTAATAGATCTATCTTTCCTCTATAGTGTCCTCAAATTTGAACATTCTGTGTACCGTCAGGTAATTGTGTAGAATTTATCATAAATGTACCACAGGGCTGCCTACCTCAAAGTTCCCATTTCAGGTAGATTCAGGGTCATTTTCAGGTAGATTGGCCCAAAATCAGAAAGTACAAAGACAAAGAAGAAGAAAAAAAGATGATCGTTGCCCTATCGAACGCGCTTGCTTTCCGTGATATTGGGTAATTATATTTTGAAAACTTGTTTGTGCATACACATGTGTGTGAGTGTGTGTGTGTGTGTGTGTGTGTGTGTGTGTGCGTGTGTGTGTGTGTGTGTGTGTGTGTGTGTGTGTGTGTATGTGTCTGTGTGTGCATGTTGCCACATTCTCGCATGTGCCTATATATAATGTGCGTGGGAAAGGAAGGGGGTGTATGGGTGTGCACAAGTTACGATGAACAGTGTGTATGAAATGAGGCGAGGTTGTTGTTTTAAAAAAAATCATTTTATGGACTATCGTTCAAGGCACTTATCATTCAGTATTGAATCTGGAATTGAGTGCAGGGTGATTGCCAAACTGACTTCAAAACCCCTAGCCCATACCAATAGAAACTAAATTAAAACATAATTTTCCCGACACTAGCATAGGACACTGATAAGTCCTTCGTGACTTAGGTATGACAGACAATTAATTTTAACTAGTTTTACTATAAGAATACAAAATGAATCCTGATCTGGGCCTGAAGAGAGGCAAGAAGAACATCAACTGCAAAAACCATGTTTGGTTTCAGCAATCACGGATTTTAAAAAGCATGCAAGACTTATAAAACCTTTATAGTTAGGCTCACGGCAGAGCAAAAAGTGAAAATAAAAGAGCGTGTACCGATAGAGCCAGAGCTGGAAGGACTGAGAGTGTGGGATGTAGTGATGCTGAAAACCTGGCAATCAGTGAATCACTGCATCATGGACTAAGTATTGATTTTTTTTTTCAAAATGCTAAATCACAGTACCAGTATTTAATCAGCAACAAGCCATCATGATGCATAGGCATCCAACATAGAGTAGACCTGCATGTGAGCCTCAACCAGATTGTCTGAAAATTTTGCGCGCACCCCCCCCCCCTCCCCCCCATAAGAGCTTAAATTTTGTGGGTGTCATAAGGAAGGACTTTTCCGAGTAACGAGCGACCACCCCAACAAACACAATAAAGAAGAGACCTAACCCTAACCCTAGGCCTACCCCAAAAAAGAACCTGCAACGGGCCTCATGTAAAAAGGCCAGCACAAGTCCAAAATGAAAAAAAACACAAAAAAAACCAACTCCAAAACAAAGAGCATGCATATAATATGGCCTACATCTTGCTATTATAATAGGGTTTGATACAATAACACAATAGAATTGGAGTATGAATCCTCCATACCATATATAGATCTAGATCTAGTAATCTAAATAAATCTAGATCGATATCTTGTAGAACAAGTGAATAGGAATAGGCCTTGAACTAGAAATCCGCATCCGATTCCGAAAAGAGGGACTCAGCTGAGTATAGATTCTAAATAATTCACGCACCTGATGAAATGCTTTTTACCAACATTAATATTACAGCACAACCTATGACTATGACTACGATAGGGTTTGACACAATAGAATTGGAATATGAATCCTCCATTGAGGTCTATAATGATCTATATAAATCTAGATCTAGATCTAGATTCTATTAGAACAAGTCAAGTGAGTGAATGAATCCACACGATCTCAACAATTGAATTTGTCAACAAACGAAATTCAAAATGGCCGCTCGAGCACGAAACTGAAAGTAGATAATTTAGGTCGTCGTCCTTTTTCGTATTCGCATTTCTACTCGGGTTCCGACAATTATGTCGGAAACGCCGACGTCGGCAGAGCGCGCGTCGGCGGTCAGCACGAAAATGAAAAGTGCCGACAAAGCCAACGGGAGAAAAAGGGGGCGCTGGCAGTCGGCCAGGCCTCGCACTTCGCACATTGACTGATACAGGTGGGCCTAGCGATAGCATCGGCCAGTTCGCGGGTCGGGTCGCGATTGTCGGATTTCAGACGATTGTCGGCAAACATGCAGGTCTAATAGAGCTTTCCGAGGGTTGAAAATGGCATTTCCTCATTGCCACTATTCAATTTGTCATCAATGACAAATCCGACAAACCCGGGACACCAACCTTGAAGATACAATCATCAAGTCTGTGCTCTAATGTTCCCTCATTTACGCACTCGATTGTCGAATGTCAAAACCACTTCCACTTACTTTAGCATCAGTTTCTTGCACCGCGGCCTTTTCCTGCTGCCGTAAACTTTATTGCATCAAACACTTCCCCTCAATTCCGACGCCCTGCAACACTCCTACTTTGAATGAACTTTGATTAGCTTTCCCCAACAACCACCGGCCGGTCCCTTGCTCGTGCCGTACTCACGAACTCACAAGTTCATTGACCGGTCACGATGACGGGCCAGGCAATCTAGAAATTGGAGGACACGTGTTTTCTTTTTCTCCCTTTTTTAGTCATTATAGTGACATCAGTGAGAATAACGATTTAATGTTTACGGCTACACTGTGTTTTTTATGCACAAACTGCAGGTTACAAATTTTTATTAACTGTAAATCTAACGTCAACGAACTATCATCGGACAATTCTAAGCGGCAACGAAAGCGAAAGTAGATTTTCATTTTCCCGATGGAGTCTCAGTATTACACCTACAGTTCCGCTGCCGCCATAGCCGCTCATTCGCGTGAAACGTACTCTCGGACTGGGGAAAGCCGAACATAACATCACAAACGCGATCGGTAAAATATGAACTCGGTAGGCTTTTCAGATTTGGTTTCGAGAACTTTGTGCATTTTCGCGAGTCTAGGCGGTTTTTTTTCTTCAGATTCCCGGGTAATAAATTCCCGCAGTCCCCCTGCGTAGAATCCTCATTTGGTACTGACCAATTCTCTAGACCAAGACACATTTTAGAATGTTTTGCTTCGATACCGATTTTCCTTCTACATTCACAATTCTGTTTTCTAGGTAAATGAATAAAGTGCACAAATTTTCCAGCCGCAGCAAAAAACTGAAGATAGACAGAAAGAAAGAATGAATGAGAAGAAGGAGGAAGATTATCTATCGTGAGTAGACAGATTTCAGCCGATATGCACTTGAAAAACTATTGCCGACCGAACGGTACAGATAGACAATGGTCGAGAGTACGAAATGCGCAATCTGGCAGTTTCTATTTATACAACTTATTGTAGGGAGTTGCTATAAATATCTGACAAGTTACAGAGGAAAATGCATGGAGTTGAATATGATGATGCGGCAAGTACGGAACTTTCGGAACGTACGGATTTCCGTAAAAACAAAGAAGAATGGAAGCACTGCAGAATGTTTTTTTTTTCTTTTTATTCTCTCGGCACCCATCACAAATCCGGTAGTTTTGACACCTTATCGGTATGGCGGTAGAACAGGTCAAAAATTGGTATCTATCTACCGGAAAAATCGGTAGATATAGGCAGCCCTGCATGAGTCATCTGCTAGATTCGGCATAGATGCTTTAAAGTTCAATCGGTGCTTCCAGCGAAAGAGATTGCAGAACTTTTTTTTTCTCTATAAAGAGTCGGACGCAACAGACGCAACGACAACAAATCAGGATACTGGCGATGGAACTCGGGAAAATCGGGGTGCTTGAGATTTGGGCCAACCGCAAGGCATCAAAGATGGAAGTGTACGAAAATTGCCGTAAAGACGCTGGAGGATTAGATCTAGATCTAGATCAGATTAAAAAACAAACTTCAAAGCATCTCTACAAATTATAATTTGGGACTGTTGGTCAGTCAGGAGGAGGAAAAGAGTTCAGAAAAAAAAAAATTGTCAGGTCCGGGACCGGAATCGAATCGCTCCTAAAATCATTGCATGCCTTCAAACGCACACGCGCTGTCTATTCGGCCATCAGAACTTCCGAGAGCGTGGTGTAGATTTTAAAAGCGTTAATGTAGTCTACATGACATAACTATATAGGCACTTCCATCTTTGGTGCCATGCGGTTGGCTACTTAGAGAAGTAGTCACGTGATCGGAGGAGTATTCTGGTCTGACGTCAAACAAGATGGGTGTCGTACTTTAAAATAGTTTGCGTCTTTCTACGTTTAATTAGAATAGTCTAAATTAATCGCATGTATTATCAACCCTACCTTGACCTGCCGGCGCTTTTTCGGTAGTTCCCACCCCCCTTATTTGATTGAGCCTGACCTACATCTAGATCTATATACACGTTTGATTCGCGGCAAGCTAAGATATCAAACCTAACAACTGCAAAACATTAAATTGTGGTAAAATTCAGGGGCGCATGCCCCCCTGAAACCCCCCACCATGTTTTTTTTGGGTCAGGGGGGCAAGCCCCCCTGAAACCCCCCTACTCTTGGGGCCAATACCGGCGAATAACAAATGCGGGGTGGGAACTAAATCTACCGAAAAAGCGCCGACCTGCCTGTACTGTTATTAAAAGTTATAATGCCCTTTTCAAATTCAGCTGTGCAAGACCTATTAAATTAGATCTCGATCTTTTACTGATTATGCATATGGCCATACTTTCTCAAATGCAACACTTAGCCTAAGCTACCGCTTTTCATTCACCGTATTGAGCAACAACACAGGAGAGAGAAAGTCTCTTTACTTCATTATTTTCACCAGACAGTTTGGAAAGTCAGAAATCTCCCAAATGGTGAAGAGTTTGACCGATTTCACGGACAGAGAATTACGTCTTGACACCTTTATTAAATTTCAAACAGATATATTCACCTTCTAAAGTGTACGATTCTTCTTTGGAAGTTTCTGTTGTGGATTGTGTGGCCTGGTTTGTTCCATCAGCCGTCACGTTTTCGCCTTCGGCAGCCATCTTGAGCGAGCGTAAGCCGCGTCACGAAAAGGTTAGCCTATTTTCGTTACTTTTGTCTGGTGGCTTTTACAGTACGTCGGTGTTCATCGGACGAAAAGCAAATTCCCGTTTGCAACCGAAAAGACAAAACTAGAGTTCAGTAAAGCCAAAGATAGTACGTGTACTGCCAAAGATAGTACATCCTACCGTAGGGTGTAGTATCTTTGGTACTGCTGCACAGAATTCTACACTAAGTGTAGAATTCTGTGTACTGCTGAGACATCGGTGGTAGGCCTAAGTTCTACTGATTGCAACAAAAATATCAAAATGCTGTGTTTATTATTATTGCTGGGGGTTTATTTTTACTCCCTCTTCTGTGGCCGTATGTCACTGAGAATAAAGTTTTGTGGTCGGCGCCGCATATAGTTATAGTATGGTTATATAAGGTTTTATTCCGACGTCCTTGAGATTAGGCAAGTCAATTAGTAAAAATGCCTTGCACCTGTGTTGTATTTAAGTGTAAGAACCGATATGATGCTGCAGTGGCCCGGAGTTTTTACAGTTAAGTTGTTTTCCTTTTAAAAAATTTGAATGAAAGTGTTTTTATGCCCCCAGCAATACAATTTAGATCATTAACATTCATAAGAGGTTGGCTCCGGCGCTACATGCCAAGGCCAACCCAGGCTGAAAGGGATACAACACCCCAGCAGAAAGACCGAGAAACTCAATTTATTTAAAGTATTCTTATTCTTATATATATATATATATATATATATATATATATATATATATATATATATATATATATATATATATATATATATATATATATATGTATATAATTATGTGTATATATAATTATTATATATGTGTGCGTATGTATACATATTATACATTTTAATTAAAGATATTGCTTTCCATTGTGTGTGCAAATTAGATGCTACTGTTATCTAAATGTATATATCTAGAGGCTCCATTAGAATATGAAATCAATACTCAACAACAATAATGATGAATATTTTCTATGTTAAAGAAACACCAAACCATATCTGATGAGGGGAGAGGGTAGGGTGGGGTGGATAAGAGTTCGAGTCTTGTTAGATAGAACTATACTCGGTTTAATTCTATCGTTGTAGTCTTCACCTAGGATCCCTCAATCAATAATTCCAGTTCACTTAAGATTCTGCGGTTCAAAAATAAACCAAACAAAGCAACAACAAATTTTACTACACAAGAGTCATCACTAAGATAAATTATCCCCCTCTGGAGTGTAATAAGGGACTAAAAACGCTGCTCTCCGTATCATACTTTACTGAACAAACAAAAAAACCAAAAAGGTCATCCACGCTCATGCAAGCGATCACACCTCCAAAGATGCTGTTATCTCTTTTTTTATTTGAAATCATTGTGCGTTCCACTTTGTAAAAACCAGGAAACAAAATTATTGTAATCAATAATATTATTATTTATAGACCAAGACATACAGTTAGCAATCAGATAAAGCTGGCATCGACCCTCTTTCTTTTGTGTTCGCTATTCCTTACACATAAAGTTAGTTATGGCACACGCCTAGAATCATGCAAACATATCTTAAATTCAGTTTAAAAGTACATTTGTATCCATTTCTTATAATTAAATATTTTAGCATCTTGAAAGATTATCTTTATAATTTGGTATGTTTGATAATTTTATGTTACTCGGACAAGTTTTCTTCTTATTTTACACATCTTTTTGAGTTTTAAACTAGATTATAACATAAAACTCTTAAAGAATTGAACAGTCCGTATCACACACAGAATTTATTTTTTCCTCCCTGTCATTATCCGTCAGCCCGTCAGTTGATCGCAATCTCTCTGTCTGTCTGTCTGTCTGTCTGTCTGTCTGTCTGTCTGTCTGTCTGTCTGTCTGTCTGTCTCTCTGTCTGTCTCTCTGTTTCACTCACTCACTCTCTCTCTCTCTCTCTCTCTCTCTCTCTCTCTCTCTCTCTCTCTCTCTCTCTCTCTCTCTCTCTCTCTCTCTCTCCCTCTCTCTCTCTCTCTCTCTCTCTCTTTCTCTCTCTCTCTCTTTTATTTAATTTTTCCCATTCTCGTTCGTCCCTCCCCAAGGCCCGCCCCTCTTCTTCCATCCCAGCCCCATCCCCTCTTCCTTGCGTGCATTCCCCCACCCCGCCCACCCCCACAACGTGGCCCAGCCCGATAAGATTCTATAAAAAGAAACGCTACAGTTCGTGATTTAGCCCACAGTCGACGGCCATATTTGATCCCCACCGGGGCGTACTGCTCGTGGCGCCGCGAAGAGAGAGAGGAGGCTCCATTAGTTCTAAACTCCTTGAGTATAACAAAACTATTATAATATCATACGTAGATTGTATAATCTATAATCTCATGCAAGAAAAACATCTGTGTTCATGCTGAAATTTTCTTTTGGAAGGAAACTATTGTGTCCTCTGTCACACGAGACACCGTCTAGATATTCAAGCATATTTGGTTGTTTTCTCGCGAAAGGTGGACACAAATTATCCCAAAACTTGCCAATTCAGGAGGAGCACCATAGATGTGCCTATAGGTTTAAAAGGGGGTAACTCTATGAGGAGCACACATTTCTCTTGTAAATAGAAACACGTTGGTGCTGAATAAGCCATACTAAAAAAAATGGAAACATTTTGTCACCTTTTGACCTGGGCTCATATTTTTAGATATATATGCTCACGTAGGCTCAATGCTTTAGTAGGCTACAATTTTCACCAACGAAAGGTAGCCCACATGACTCCATGGTTACTCATCTGATCGTCCAGTCCACTTACAATGTGTAGGGCCTAACATTTGGCCTAGTACTAGTACTGCACCCCATCATGCTTCCTGTAAAGAAAATTCTCGACTCCATTCATGCAAACAGCTGCCACACGAAGAGCAAAACATTAACTGCCTTAACAAATTATTTATGGCGCACCTCCCTCCCCCCTTTTTCCCTCCAAATAAAAAAGAAGAAGAAAGAAACTGGGCAAAATGTTCAACTGAAAAAGGCGAAAGGATGGGAGTGTGATCTGAGAATGTCCTGGTGTTGGAATTTTTTAGGGACCCATAAAGGACCTTATTCATAACCATTAAGTGGAGAATTCTGTGGGTTCGAGAGACTGTGCGTCTCAGGTCTCGCGCAACGATCAGCACCACCCTCCCCCCCCCCCCCCCCCCCCCCCCCCTCCACACACACGTCAGAATTGGGAGAGGCGAGCTGTGGCGCAAAATCCCTTTGAAGTTTGCCTTCGCGTGGGATTTACTTTGCATGCAGAATTTAAAAAATAATTATCGCCACTAAAATTGATTTCATTTTCGGAATCAGCGTATCAAAATAATCTAAGTAGCTCTCGTGAAACCCGATTTGATGCCATATATTTAAATTTAAGCAAACTTTGGGTTTTTTTCAGAACTGAGTACAGTACACCAGTACCTGCCCATCCATACACTGCACCCGTGGGTGTCTGTGCTTGAAGAAGATGAGTTAACTGCTGTATATATAATGACCCACAAAAAAAAGTGTGAATGAACTGGTTGGAGCTAGTTCTTTTCTTTTACCGTATTAATAATAATAATAATAGGCCCTATGACTATGAATACACGTTTATGTACAATGTATGCCCTTTTGTGAATGACATTTCTTCTCGAATATTACGTATTACAAAGCTATATTTTTTCTTTTGTTCTGACAAACGATGGGCGGCAGTTTGTATGGTCGCCGTCAGGTTCTTACTGCCGCCCGGAAGGCTACACTAAATTAAAACAAAAATGCAACCAATTTGGTGAGAGTATACCTGAACCAGTCCCTATCGTATTATAAAAATATAACAGTGGGTGCCTCGCGAAAATGGTTTTCTGTCGCGATCACGCGGAAAGTTCCTCCTTTTTTAAAATTCTGGGTTGAGACCCATGATACCATATATCAGGATGCCGATTTCCTTCAGCAGCTGTAGCTTTTGCTTACTGCCAGATCCTGGGTTCTGATGTGCGCTCTGAACTCGGTTGGTGGGCTATAAAGCCGGGTTATGGTGTGGATGACCCTGGTTCGAATCTTCAAAATGGTCGTTCTTGAATTTGGGTTGTAAGAGGAGTTTTCAAGGCTTTCCAGATACATGATTCAGTCCTGCCGGAGATGGACACAAAATCGGTCTCATCTCTTAAACAACCTTACCGTACAGCGTTGAAAGATTAAGAGGCGTTAAAATTATACAACTAACTATGAAGCACCGTATCCTTGGTTATGGTTAAATGTACAAGTACAAATTTGTTGGGATTGGCCAACGCGCATTTGAAAAAAAAAAAAAGAGAGGTCCACTCGTCAAGCTATTCCAGATTTCTTCTCAGTCTCGAGTATCACGATCTATAAAATATGCACAAAATATAATATAGTATAGACTATTTATTATTAAATTAATGCACAGCGGTAGGCAGTTTTGAAACAATTTAGGCTGAAAATATACTGCCATGCACAACTGAAGCGTGCCGCGAAACAGACGAGCAGCTAGGTCGGAAGTGGTAATCAGGGAAGTCGAGAGCCAGGTCGGGCCCTAGGGCAGCAATCACCTTCGGTCCCCTCCTCTCCCCGGCCCCACCTGCCCTCACCTGCAATTTAATAACCCAACAAATACAATGTACATAGGCATATATAATCACTTCACTGTAGCATATCTATTACATACCAACATACGCTCTCTCTCTCTCTCTCTCTCTCTCTCTCTCTCTCTCTCTCTCTCTCTCTCTCTCTCTCTCTCTCTCTCTCTCTCTCTCTCCCCTCTCTCTCTGTGTCTCTCTCTCTGTGTCTCTCTCTCTGTGTTTCTCTCTCTGTGTCTCTCTCTCTGTGTGTCTCTCTCTCTCTGTCTGCCTGTCTCTTTGACCCACATCTTCACTATCCTTGGAAATGCATTTTGCGAAAGAGATGTTTGTATAAAAGCAAATCCCCCGGCTCCCCCCCCCCCCCCACGCACACACAAACACCCCAGCGTCCTTTGTCTCGTCCCCCTCCATCAAGTGCTTGGTGTTGTCAACACAAAATTAATTTTAATTTTTCTGATTTACCGGGTAGTTAAAAATGAAGTTAAGATGAATAAACCAATGACAGAAATTAAAATAAATTGTAATGTAGCATACCTTTTTTTCTTACAACAACAGAGCCTTACGGGATTTAGCCCTAGCAAAACTGTCAATTATTGGTTCGTAGTCCAATTTTCGAGCTAGACTAGCCTCTATCATACTCTATGGTCAAAATTCCAAGACTTGGAAGTCTGTCTTGACGCATTGTGGACCGCAAAATGTTTTTCACCCGAGAAAGGGTACTGAAGGAACGTTCAGCTTGCTCAACTGTGACAGGCAAGGTGCAGAAGATTCTCAATATGATTACAACGTTCGGAAACAAAGCGTCCACTTTCAGGGAATGAAGTCTGTTCAGCAACTGAAGAGGCGGCAGGACTTTTTCTCCAATGTTCGCTGAATGAATCACTTTCAAATGTTCCAACTCTTGCGCAAGGTTTGCTGATGCATCCGCTGCATATTCCGTGTGCAATTTGTTTGCGAGATCACGAATAACGCCGACTTCCTCTTGGAGATATTTCCACAAAACACTAAATAACGAATCGAATTTTGTCACTGCATTATACCTTGTCTTCAAATTTTCAAGAAGGCAGTCAATGATGACATAAAAAACTTCATGTTTGAATTTGTTCTCGGGATTTTGGTAGTCTGTTACATCTTCTGTCTCGTCTGCAAAAAGCTTCCTTTTCTTTCGTCATTTTGCTGTTTCAGCAAATGAAAGCTCAATCTCATAGTTATCTGCTACTAATTTGGACTCACTCAAGATTGCATCCCATTCATCTTGTAAGCTTTTCAGATCTTTAATCAGACTATTGATATTTGCCACCTCAACGTCAAGAGTTGCTTCTCGTGCGTGAAGCACTCTATTTCTGTGATGGATTGCTGTGAGAATTTTGAGCCAAACAGATGCCATTGTAACACATTCAAATGATGCAAAGTACTTAAGAATACCAATCAAATCTGAACGTGTTTCTGGGGTGAGGGTCATTAAAAGAACGGTTTGAACAGCTTTCCTCTGTCCCCCGATGTGAACCGCAAAAGGCCTGACACCGTCAACACGTGCTGACCAACGTGTCTGAGACATACTGTGCAAAGAGCTGGGAATGGGAATGTTTTGCTTCAAAATTTCCCACCTTTGTGGACTGGAGCTAAACTGTTATACAGCTTCTGTACAACTCCAAAGAAAGTTATGACTGTTGAACAGCTTTCTGCACAAATTCAAACTATGACAGCCACAGGGAGAATATGTGACATGTGAGCACTGTCTTAAAATGTGAGCCTGTGCACCATTATACAGGCCACTCATGTCGCTACCGTTGTCGTTGCCTTGGCCTCGGCAGTCTGTAATTGGAATGTTTTTGTCTTTTTTAAATTCAGTGTATCAAGGATTATTTTAGCGATGCCTTCTCCTGTTTTCTTGTTACAATCTACACATTTCAGAAATCTCTCTTCTACTTTGAAGACATTTGTATCACTGTCAAGTGAACATAACGCAAAATAAAGAAAAAGTTTGTTCGACGTGTGAAGAGTCCAGTGTTGCATCAACGATAGTGGAGTAAAATTTCGTTCCGCTCTTTCATTCAAAATCATGTCTGTCACTTTTGATGCACAGCATTGGATGAATTCATTTTGACTTTCTGGTGATAGTGAACTTGTAGGCGCCTTTTTTCTTTTTGTGATTTTTCAATTTTTGTAAGATGCTCGGCAAGGAGAGGATCGTAATTGCCAATCAATTCCAGAAGTCCAAGAAAGCACTACCAAAGTTCTGTGAAGTTGTCAGATATACAGCGGGGGCTCTCGTGGCCTTGACGTTAAGGTGTTGGCCTCTCATTCAAATGTCCCCGGACCGAATCCGGGTAGCGACCGAAAAATTTTCTTCTCTAACTCTAAAATTGTCTTCTTTCACCTCCTGTCCTGCTCTCTAGCAATATTCTGTCATCAGCTTTCGTCTCCTCTTTCTGCCCCAACCCCCTTTGCCCCCTCCTCTGGGCTCCTGACTCTTTCTGCAGCCTTTCTACTGCTACTCATTGACTCCTTCTTACAGCTGTCGGAGGGCCCGTGTGCAAGCTGCGCACGTTAACGATCCCTTGGTGGTCTAAAATCGATAAAAGTAGGCTTCGGCCGCCACCAGGGCAAAATTCAAAATTTCCTACCAACTAAAAGTATTAGATGTGTCCGGCGCGCTCATGACCTTATGCAGTTGCGAGCGCCGTAAAACGCTTACCCAAAAAAACAACAAAGATATATAGCTCAACTTTCAGCCAAAATATATTTTATTTCAAAGCTTTGTACGGTACTCTCTCTCTCTCTCTTTTCCCCTTGCTTGCGGGCCCCCAAACCCCCGGGCCCGGGGCATTGCCCCCCCCCCTCTCGACAGGCCTGGTGGTGATCAAAATTATAGGTCCGCTCGACTCCGACCGACTGTGTAAAAAAAAAAATGGCGTTGAGCAGGCGAAAACAGCTCAGTGCTCTGTGTCTGGGACTCAAACTCATAGGGCGAGGCGCCTTTGCTTGATGGGACACAAGTTCGCCATAGGACATCTTCTGGGAAGACCTGTATCAGCAGGTATACGAGCTAGGTGGTTAGTCCATCTGACCAGAGACTTGGGTATTGGAGGCTACAACCACAAAGCATTTCCATATTTTGTCGCACCTTTCCGCATTTGAACAGAATTTTCTGTTAAGCATCTTTACGAATGCTGCACAGAGGAAGGGAGAGAGAGAGAGAGACACACACAGAGAGAGAGAGAGAGAGAGAGAGAGAGAGAGAGAGAGAGAGAGAGAGAGAGAGAGAGAGAGAGAGAGAGAGAGAGAAAGAGAGAGAGGGGGGGGGGGGGGAGGGGGTAGGGGGAGAAGAAAGACTGTGAAGGGAAGGAGAGAAAGAGATGCAGACAAACACACAACTAATAATTTAATCAAATTGAAGATGCGGAAGGAAGAGCCATGTACAAAACAGTAAAACAATAGCCATCGCACTTCGTAGTAGGCATCGTTTATTCATTTTATCTCATCATGGAACAAAAATAAAAAGCATGACACAGACACTCTTACGACCAGATTCAATGAAACTAAGGAGGAAGAATTAAAAAAAAAACCCAACAAAACAACAAACCAAGACAAAAATACAAAAAACAAGAACTAAACAAAAGAAAGCAAAATAATCACCAACATCACTACTCCAACTTCGCATTCTTCCATAAATCTATGAATGATTATACAGCATCGTCATCACCACTGCCACAACAACAGCATTATTCTTTATTGCTTCTTGATGTCCACAGCTAAATATACAGTGGTTTACTTACTTCATTTTCTTATTTAGGTTGCCATCAACTTTTGTTTTTCTTCTCATTCCAGTTACTACCATCTCAGGGGTTGTGTGGACTATGGGTTCAACTCACGAGTACAACCAACTTTTGCACTTCGCACATGCATTGCCGACATTTGATCTATTTCTATAACATAGAATCTTTTGCCTTTCAGACAGACAGATATACCACTTTTAAAGGTGATCTTAATTACACATGTTATATTTATAGCATTTCGGTGGAGACAAAACTTGGACACAACTGGAGAAAGAAACACAGGACAGACATCTTGAATCTTAGGAAAGGAATTATCGATGGACAAAGGGAAAGAGAGACATCTCAGTTTTAGCAAGATCTAGAAACTTCATTATTATATTTTGCTTGCAGAAATTCCAGATCTGACTTTTACTTTTAGAACCAATATTTCTGTAAAAAGTTAAACGTGATGCTTGTTTTTCACTTTTATCCCGGAAGACTGGGTAGGCCTACATGTCCTCCACCCCCAATACACCCCGAGTACACAATACTGGAAAAACATATTGATCACTCTATTTTAAAAAAATAGTCTGAGCTTAAAGATTAAAGGTCTTTCGCGGTTATTCTTTCCAAGGGAACACTCCTCTTCCCCGAAAATAAAAGTTACATAATAAGATGACAATTGCCATTCACACACAAAATTATTTTGCTAAGCCTAAACTTTCGATTGTGAGAGATGGAAAGAGAGGTACATTTCTGCTACAATTCAGGATGCATAAAGAAAATACTTTTTTTTTTTTTTAACTGTACACATAATATTGTTATGAGTACAACACACAAAGAGAAGGTCCATGTCAGCTCGTAAAACATGATTACAACAACACTCGCTTCAAATAAGCAACTGAGTAATTAGACAACTTTGTACATAAAGTATGCTCCAAGAATATACACAGACGACGAGACTGAAAAAGCCTCAAGGGAATCCTCCCAACAGAATATGGAACATAACTGACATAAAAGTCCTACGTTATGTTTGATACACAACCCGCTTTAGATTTCAGTACACGAGGACCACACTACGTGCAAAAAAAGTCTGAGTGCTTTGGTAGAAACAAATTAACCCTACACTCCACGTCCCCTTCCCTGAAAATACAATACACATTCATAGTCAATCTCAATTGGCTCCGCCAAGAAATTAATGACCAGGGACGGAACTAGGCCACCACTGGGGAACCTGGCCTTCAAATTCAGCTTGTTGAAGTGTGCAGCACCTGACAGGCAAAAAATGACGGTCAGTAAAAATCAAATGTCAGAAATAGAATACAAGGAAACGTTAAGTATAATCGGTTTTGAGGTCGAAATTCCTTTCAATACTGGTACTGTTATTGTTATTGAAGCCACCTGCGGGAGGAGGGGGGAAGAGACCTTAGAGCTAACATCTGCCTCCAACACCACTGAGGGTAGCCCAGAAACTATTCCCTGGATCCAGAAGAGGGATATTTTAACAAAATGTATTATATATATAGGAGCTCAAAGCAGCTACTTTAGATACAATTATAAACAGTAAAACAATGTGAAAAAAAACCCCAAGGCAACAGTAAAAGTACAATTCTCTTTCCATCACAAAGAGAGTAGTTTTAAGCTGTAGTTTCACCACATACAATTACTGCAAGTGCTGGCAAAGAGCGAGCAATTTCAAGAACATCTATAGGCGCTGGCTTTCCCTTGCTTGGGGAGTATCTTGGGTCTTTATCAACAAAAGGAGCCTGTCTCAAAAGCATGGGGTGAAGAGCCCTAAATCTTTAATTAAAGAACAAGACCCAACTGTCCAAACTCCCCCAAGCTTTAGCACTGTAATAGCTAAAACTGAGGTCTTCCACATTGAGTAATGTTATATCATCTAAGCTGCCTAAACGCCAACAGTCGTGGCTTCATATTATCAAGTACATCTTTATGTAACACAAGTCCACAGACAGGTACATTGCCCAACAGAAAAGACCTGTTGCGGTATACCCAGAAAAGACACACTCAAGAAGTAATATCTTTTCATATTCTGACATTTATAACACATAAAAACCAACCTCATTTTCTTTACTATCACTCTGTAGCAGTACAGAAAAAAACAAACATGGTAGAATAATTATACCAATAAGGCAGAACAGTAGAAAAAAACAAACAAACCAACAAACAACCCCCCCCCCCCCCCAATACTTGTTCTATCTTTTTGATTGCAAGAAGAGGACTAGAAAACAAGTAGATCTACTTTCTTTACGGTGCTTTTATTTTCTTACCTGGTATCAAAACCTCATTCTCTGATCAGACTGGCCCGACTTGATCTCCCAGACTACTGGCACGGAGATGCCGAGCCGCTTATTCTATCAGTCACACATGACTTCCCACTAACTTTGGGGTCAAGCTCACTCTAAATTGAATGTAGTTAAGGGTAAACTGAGGCCATATAAGCCGTATTACATTGAACCAGGAACACTCAAGCAGCAGACCATAAGCAATGGGGAGGTTAATCAGATGAATAGGATGGAATTATTTAGAGAACCTATCTAGAGATTGCATTACCCGTGAAGAATGGACAACCTGAGGAGAGGACAGTACAAAAAAGAACTCAAGCAAAAAGCAAACTAACAGTTTAAATAATAATAATCAATAAAAATACAAAAAACCCACATGTTTGCTGTGCATGCTCAGACAGTACACCTGTTATAGCAAAATGATTTCACACCAAAGTGACTGACCTACAGACTGTGGGGATGGGGGAGGGTTTCTAACTGACTAGTATACATGCTACATTTCTGTCAGTTGTGAGGACAACCAAAGGGAGGGATGAGGGAAGGATTGCAAGCATCACCTGTCCAATTCTTGGCAATGTCTATAAAAATTAGGACACTGAGTGGAAAGAAAACATGAAGAGTGATCTGTATTCTTACAACAAACAGTTTTGCTTGTAGATTTTTCTTTTCTGAAAAACATTTGGCATGCCTATTTGTTATATCGTAAACTGTCCAAGAAAGCCCATCCAGTGAAAGGAACATAGAAAGATCAGTAGTAGCTTACGAGAAAAGAATGATCTCAACTGAAACTATAGTAGCCTACAACACAAAAACATTTTCTCTCAAATGAAACTGAGAACAGTCAACACAATCAGCTTTGAAACATAAATAATGAAGCTTCGACCACAACAGGGACACATAATAAGAATGCTCACCCTTTTATTTCATTAACAAAGACAACTTGCTGAATGCCAAGAGCAAAATGATTTAGATTCAAATTTACGAAAAACTATTCGTACTAACATGTTTATTTAAATTAATTTGAGAAACACATGGGAGTAAACACAGTCTTTATGACCAAGCATGCCTGTTTATGTAGAATTGGTAAATTTGTGTAAAAATAGGGAACACCTCCCCACAAGAAAGGTGAAAGCATATCTAAAAATAAAATATTTCTAAATAAAGAGCAAACAGTAATTTAAGGATCTCATTTGAAAAATTCATTGCTACAAATACGAACAACATAGCCTGCCAGTTTAAACCTAGCAAGAAATGAAAGCTCATGTCTTACTGTAAAAATTATTTTAAACGAGGCATTTAATAGCAACAAAGAAGTGAAACTATAATAATATGCTCATTCTATAAAAGAAAGGGAAATAGGTATTACAGGTCTCTGTTTAGTATTCACGGAAGATCAGCAACACACTCAGCTTTCTAAAATGAAACATTGCAACTCCCGCCCCTTGGAAAAAAAAAGAAGAAATAAACATTATCTTTATAGACAGCTGATCTATAACACCAGGCATAGCACTTCTTCCTCCCACATTTACTAAAGAACAGCAGTACATAAATATTCAAAAAGATCCTGTCCTATTTTGTCCTTCCACAAAAAAATTATTACAAAAAATCACAAGCACACCTTTCTTTCATCATGACACAACCAAAACCAATCTATCTTTACAATAGCCCTTGTAAAAAAAAGCAGCTCCGTCAGAACTTTACTCACAGAGCCATCCATTGCATCAGTTTCCGGTGAGAACATGAGCAAGGCCATGAATCCAAGCACAGAGTTTTCCTAAAGACAAAACAATTTGTTTACTAACTAACATTCTTTACACCAGCCAATTTGAAAAAGAGAGTGTGTCCTCTATTCAGTGTAACAACCCCCAACCACTTTCAGACAGCCCCCACAGACAGTGCATGCTAAACTCAAAAGGACTCGAATCCAAAACCTCATCATACCAAAACAGAACAATCAATTGGTAAACCGCTGATGCTTCTATAACAGCGAAAAAGGAAAGACGTTACAAACTAGAGCCAAAACATTCAAGCCTTAAGAATGCACTTGTACCAGACAGTGGTGACCCTTGGGTCAAGTTGAAGATGACATATACTCAACACATGCGGGTGTAAGGGAGAAACTCAAACCTTTGAAAAAAAAAAGAAAAAGGGCCCAACCTATTCACAGAGGTCAGTTTCATGATGCCAGTTGCCTTTATGTGCAGCTTGCTGATTGGGTTATCTATACAGGGCATGGGTGTGTGTATAGTGTATTTGCCATGAGTGTAGACGACCTCAAGAAAAAAAAAAGCCCCACTCGAAATATCAAGCTGGCAAAAGACAAAATTACCTGGGAGCAAATACCACGTCCCTTCATCCAGCTTTCTCCAATCAAACCCTTTACACCCCCCCCCCTCTTCACATTAATTGTCCACTACTCAAGCTTCCTTTCAACAGACTTGCACATGCCACGGTAGTTTAACAAGCAAAGACTCGTATAAGAGCAGTTACCACAAGAAGAGCCCCATATGGGTACAGGGTACAAATCACAGCTCCTTTAACTTAAAAAAGAGCAGGACAGAACAGAAAGGGTTTTCCCCACAGAAATACAGAGCCATTAAGTGCCTCAATGTCCAACCATCCTGCGTTTCTTTTTTTAACTTGGAAACCAGGAGAACTTTCACTGAGTATCATTTCCTATGAACACTTTGGAATAGTGCCAAGCATTTCAAAATTCAACCACCCCATACCTGTCTCTCAACATCGGACATTTGAGTGTCTACGCGCTCAAATTTACATGTTTCAGGAATATACTCAATCTGAAACTCTTATATCTGTATCTCATCATTATCAGGTCTTGGGGAACACTTAACGAGGACGACGAAGAAGAGTAAGCTAGCTGCCTTGTGGGTACTCCTTTCAGTTGTGAATCTTGATGGCTTTCTCCAGGTAGTTGTAACGTGCTCGTTTTGGAGTCTTGTTCACGTGATCCAAACCTAACCAGGGGCGCGCCTGCATACCCATGCCTGAAACATAAAAACAGAGGAAGTGTGGTATATTGAATACCAGAGAAAGCTACAGGACAATAAGAACTATGGAACAATGAACTAAACAGCTATTTCTGTTAGCCCAGGTACCACTGTATATATCTCTTTACTATTTCTCTACAATGAGATATGACAATTGATAACTTTAAAGTTAAGGCCTGAAACTATCTCCCACCACATAATAAACAGAACAGTTTCTTCACTTTTTTATTAGGGACAATCTGAAAATAGAAAATGGCCCAAGCAGCGGGTTTGAATTTGAAATCCTGACTTTAGGAGAGATTTTCAGTAGCAAGTCCTTCAGGATTCAGGCTGTGAAAACCCACTAAAAAACAACCCTGAATGAACTGCAACTAAATAAAAAATCTGTATGTGAAGAGAGCACCACGTTCTCAAGTTAATAGACCCCTGGTTAGACCTGCATGTGAGCCTCAACCAGATTGTCTGAAAATTTTGCGCAACCC